GTAGAACCTTTGGTTCGTCCATTCCTTTTTCGGGGCTTGTTCCTGAAGAAGATTTCGGCCGTTCACGTGTTCAGGTTCGATCTTCGATCCATTTTCCGATTTTTTTCTGTTACGGTCTCATTTGCAATACGGCCTTCGTTTCATGTTCCCGTTTCTGTTGCGCCGGTCATTTTCCCTCCGTTTTCCCTTGGGTCGTGCTTGTTTTGTTCGTGTCTTCGCCCAAAACATGAACTGAAGGTGTGGAACTTCATGGCAAAGGTGCAAGAAGAACTGTACTGCTCTCCGGAGGACGCGGCAAACTTCCTCGCTACCCTCCGGAGCGACCCCGGGATGTACGTCGCCAACACATTTGACGACCCCGGGAGGCTGGTTAACGTGTTCTGGGCCACCGCCGACCAGCAGGAGAGGGCGGCGAGATTTGGGGGGTGCATCCAGATGGACACCACCGTCTTCGCGAACAGGTGATCGATACTACGCATGTAGCTCCGACCGTGGCGGAACTTTTTTCGCAAGTTTACATAACACACGGAACTCCCCTCGAGCACGCCCCCTCGGCCGAATCTGAGACGACAAAGATGATTGCCGTCCCCACGGTAAAGGTATCTGAAAACTAACCTGCCGATGGCACGGCCGCAGGTACGGATGCCCGGTCTTTCTGTTCGTGGGTGTTGATGACGAGAACCGTAGCTGCATACTGGGCCAGGGTCTCCTACGCTCGGAATGCGCAGAGACGTTCGAGTGGTTCCTCACTCAATACGAGAGCGCCGCTGGTGGATGGGAACGGCGGCCGAAGGTGAACTTTTTGTCACCTTGGTGTGTAAGGGTAGTTCATTGGTGGTCTCTGCCATTTTCAGAGGTCAGGGGTAGAAACCCCCACGATGGGTGGAGGATCGGAGACGCCGAGAATGCCCCCCAGACAGGGGACGGGGCAGGGAGAGATGGTGTCGCAAATACCCATGACCCGCCTGTTCTAGACAGCATCCTACGCATATATTTCCGCGTCGGTCGACGATTAGCTCGCCCAATCCCTTTTGCTCTCTGGGGTTTTAAGGCAACTCCGCATTTCCAAACGCTTTCAAAGCCCAATCTGAGTGTCTCATCGGATTTTCGTTATTCATTGATGGATTTTGCCTTATCTATGGTGTTGAAGGTCATCCTCACGGACGCCGATGTCGCCATGACCTCGGCCGTAGCTTCTGTCTGGAAGGGTACGCAACACCTCTTCTGCCTGTGGCACGTCAACAAGAA